CCCCCACTCTCAGAGCTGTCTTCCGGCACCGAGCCCAGAGGGCCGCAGTCCCCTGGCCAGATGCGCAGGGGGTCACTCCTTGACAGCAGGGACGAGGCCCTGGCTTACCTCTGTGTCTCCAGTTGGGCACGGGGCCTGGCCTGTGGCCATCAGCCCTCCCTGCCTGCACAGGGACTGACTCACCGCGTGGGATGGCAGCCTGCGCGGTAAGTAAGGCCGAGCCAGGCCTTTAAGAAAGGGCAGGGCTTGCAGGTGGGAATGTCACTCAGCAGAGGAAAAGCCCCGTTCACAGAGATAAGGAAGCACCAGCTGTGGTCAGAGCACAGCGTGCAGATCGGTGCGGCCAGGCCAAGTGTTCGGGAAGGGAAGAACGCGCGCATGAGGCCCCTAACTCAGTTACCAGCGCTGGAAATCTAACTGGGAAGTGCTCACAGCTAATAAAAAATGAAAGCCTTTGGGAGCACAGCCGTTACAGGAGCAGGGAAGAGGCTCCAGGAAGTGATGACTGGGAAAGCCCCAGGGAGCACCATATGGGAAGCAGCAGAGGAGAAGCAGCAAGAGAGCGCCCCAGGCCGCCCCCAAGGGAGAACGGAGGAGTGGGGTCTGAGGTGCGCCACCCGCCTGGAGCGCCACCGTGCTCTGGAGGGTCAAGGCCACCCAGGTGACGGAGAGCGGACAGGGTGGAAGGCCAGGCTCAGAGCGCACACTCAGGAAGCCGGGGCTCCACGTCACTCCTGCGGGGGATGGGCGCTCCGCTTCTAGGGCCGACGGCTGGCTCTGCACTGGCGAGCATCAGAATACCTCTGGGGAAAGTGAAGCTGAATTTCTTTCTAAAAAGCTCCTTGCACTTTGATTCTCTCGCACTTAGCAGGGGAGCCCTGGAACCGATTAGAGTTAATCCGGCAAGTGGGCCTCTCAGCCCAGGACTCTAATTCACCACAGCGGTGACTCTCCAGGGAGGCCCACGAGAGACCGACCCCAGAGGCTCGGGTCTCTAAAGTTCTGGGCCCACGCAGGAGGGACCACGGCTCGGTGACCCCATCTTACCGAGCCCACAGCTGCACGCACTCGCCTGTGAGCGCCAAGTTCAACCTGCTAGGAATGGTGTCGTTCCTAGAGAACTTGCTTCCTCCGCGGGGCGGGCAGCGTGAAGCGGAAGCAGTCCCCGAGGGGCAGGCTGGGGCGCTGTTTTGCCCCCCAAGAGAGCACTGTCTGCTCCAAGGCTTCTGAGAGGCTCGCACTCCTGCCCAGCGCACCTCGGTGGCGGGGCTGGAGATTCAGAGTGGCGTCTCAGAACCTTGAGCCCCCCGGCCCTGGGAGACCCTTCCCTACACTTCCATCCTGCCCCAAGCCGAGACTGGCAGGAACAGCCCGCGGCCCCTGAGGCTCACCCTCGTGATGGCAGAGGTCGAGGTCAGTTTCCTTCGGGTCTTCTTCACTTTCCGCAGATCCTCGTCCTCGTAGAACAGGTCCTAGGTGGGCGGGGAGGCGGACAGAGGCTCAGGAACCCAGCAGGGCCTGGTCCTGGCCACACACACGCCGCCAAGAGGCTGTGGACACCGACCTGCCCGTGTAGTGGGTCGTCACTGCCTTCCTGTTCCGAGGAGAAACTCTCCTCCTCTTCCTCAGAATAATTGTCAATATCAGGAGAACGATCTGGAAGCAGACACCCCCATAAGCTAACCCTGCAGTGGGAAGCACGGCCCCCTCAGTGAGGAGCGGGTCCCGGCCAGGGTGGCTGCATCTGATCTCGGGGGCCACTGCGTGTGGTTCTCAGGAACTCTCTGGGCACCGTCTGGTCTAGCTTTCCGAAGACGGAGGTCGGGGGCTGGGCCCCCTGGGGGCCCCTGCACCCATCTTACCAGACAGCTTGGATTTGATGCCTTCGTGGTCAATGGGCTGGCTGGACAGGGAGTAGATCTTTATTTCCGCCACAGGCACAGAGACGTCCTTCACGTTGCTGTGCAGGCCGAGCACCAGGGCGCCTTCGTTAGGGTGCTGCATCACCTGAGACCAGAGCGCCGGTGGCAACCCCGCGCTGGGGCCAGGTGCTGCCGGCGCCCGTGATCCCCGGGCTCAGGGCCGGTGGCCAGGCGTCCAGCTTGCGCCTGCTCTTCCCCCTCCCCAAGCCCCACCTGTCACCTCCCGCCGCCTAAAAGCAGCCCTGGAAGTGCCTGCTGCCGCCAGGCTTGAGACTGAGAATGACTGATCCCTGGGGCTGCACGTATGTGAAGGCCACCACGGAGAAGCAGCTCCCGCGGCAGCGGTGGAGGGAGAAGCCGCCTGCAGATGGCGGTCACCTGCGCCTGAGGGGGACGAGAAGGGCCCACACTGCGTGCAAGAATGGGGGCTCGACACGGCTGGGCGGGTGGCACCCACATCCTTCCCCTCAGCCCGTCAGGCTGCTACGACACGCACAGAGGACACGGAATGTCGCTGTTGAACTCGCCGAGGCAGAGGCGCCGTTTTGATACTGCCGTGTGGCTCCCACCCTCCCTCCACCGGGCTGCAGGATCTGCCCGCTGCCCCTGTACAGATGAGCCAGCGGCGCCACTGGCCATTTTGCTACCGGAAGAGGGGGTGAGGGACACGGAGGGCGAGGGCGGAGAACGCGGCACAGCCGGCTGGAAGTGTGTGGACAGTGAGCGACCCGCGAGCCCAGAGCTGCGCCCAGGGCAGCGCCTCGCGGCTCTGCTGTGGGGTAGCGGCCTCGCACCGGGACCGGCCGTGGCCAGAGGCCGTTTTGCACTAAAAGGAACCAAAGCTTTGCGGAGTATTGGCTCCTCCCAGGGCCGGTTGGGGGCATAAAGTGACCCAGTCGTACTCCGACCGGGAAGTAAAGAAGTCTGTGAGGAACCAGGAGACACGTTGCATGGCACGTGAGTCAGCTGAGAGCTCACTGGCTAAGCCCGAGGTAGCGAGAACATCAAAATGGATGATGAAGGTAGCAAATGAGCCCCAAAGAGTAAAAGGCCCATACGTGAGACAAACAAGTGAGTCTATCTGGGGCGGAGGGGAGAGCGCCCTCTTACAACAGAAAGCCGCGAGTAAAGCGGAGTCGTGGGCTTGGAACTCATCCATGCTGTCAGCACTCAGAAGCTGAACCTAGCTGTGAAGATTTGAGGAAGAAAAAGACTTTACATGGTCTCAAAACATTGCCCCATACGGTGTTTTCTCCCCGTTCACTCTACAGTACTTATCAGTGAGCCTGAACAGCCCTGGCAGACACCGCCTGCAGCCAGAGGCGAAAGCCAGCCAGGTGGGGCCGGCCACAGGCGCGCTGCAGGGAGGTGAGCCGCCCACCTACCGGAGCGGCGTCACAGACACACAAACCGGGACGGCAGGACAGACAAAGGAAACTGCAGACCAGAGGAGAATCAGACCTGACCGCAAGCGATCAGACCCGGGCGGGGTGGGAGGGCACGAGGCGACGTCGGGTCACGGCACAGCCCAGGAGGGAGTCCTGACTACACGGAGGCCGGCCCTCACTCGGGGCGTCTCCTCACCCCACAGAATCCACACAGAGCGGCATTAAAGGCGGAGCGGGGGGCCCTCCCTGCTGGTGCAAGGGGCTAAGTCGCAGCACTGTGGGGTTGTTGGCAGCCACTGCACACGAGCTCCATCCCCAGCCAGGGAGGGACCCACAGGGCGCAGCAGACCCCTCCTGTCTCCCCACTGCTCCCCGCAGCCGTGTACGTCATCAGTCTGCCTGCTCTGCTCCCACTCTGCCTCTGGTGAGTCCTCTCACCGCCCGCACCTCTGGCCTGCGCCCCAATCCTTGTACATGGGAATTCTTTACTGTTACAACGTCTGAAATTTTTTAAAAAAGAGAAAAGTCTCAGTGAGTGCAACAGTGCTTGCTAAACAGCAGTAGATCCCGATCCCACTGGGGGTGAGCTGTGTGACGCAGCACGCGGGCGGCAGGCTGCCACCGGGCCGGCGCCCGGGCCGTGCCCGCAGCCTCTCACCTCCGCCATGTTGATGAGCCCCAAGGCGAGGGTCTTGTAGCCCAGGATGGTCCTGTTCTTGTAGCGCTTCCTCCGCTGCAACATGACCTGCAGCTTGTTGGCGTCCCGCTTCAGGAAGTGGGGGTACTGCGGGGCACAGAACGCCAGGCGCGGCTGGGGCGAGCGCGCCTGTGGGTTTGGTCTCTCTGGGGCTCGGGGTCTCCCATGTGCAGGGGTGGGCAGGGGACACGCGGGCCGGCTACGGGGCTCAATCGCCTCGGTGCAGCTTCTATTCTGTGGCCCAACCGTGCCCAGACACGGCTTCTTTCGATCAAGTATTTTCTCCATGTGCTTCAACATGGGATACTGGGAGCATGACGGGAGACAAAGGGGGTGAGGAGAAGGGGAAGGACGGAGATTGCCACACGGGGCACGAGGGCCGAGGGCGGCGAACCCTGCTGGGCGTGCGGTGTGGGTCACTAAGGGAGGGGATGGGGCCGAGGCCGCGGGAGGGGCGAGGACACTGGCACTCAGGCTCCTTCCGGCAGCCCCGGGCCGAGCGCCTTGCGTGGCTGCCGCGTGCCGGGGCTCATGCTGGCGGGCTGACACACCGCGCAGAGTGCACGGGCCCGGGCTGCCGGGCTGGATGGCGGAGGAGGGCCATGGCAGCGCTCACCTGGAGGGAGAAGGTCAGCTGGAGCTCCGTCTCTGCCAGCCCGCTGGCCGGAAGGATGATCTCGTTGGAGCGGAGGATCCTCTTTGAGCCCTGAAACCGAGAGAGGACCGTGGCAGAGCTGTGCCACAAAAGCCCGACCAGAGACATACTGGGCTCGCGAATAACTCCTGAGCACGCAGACACTGAGCAGCCCGGGCTGCGCCCCCTGGGACAGGCGGCACCAAGGCTGGCTGCACCCCTTCGCCGCGCGTCCAGGCGGGAGCGGCTCGCCGCCCCATTCCTGAGAGGAGGCAGGCAGGGGGGAGCACCCCAGGTGTGGGCAGAAATGCCCAAGCTCGCCTCGCCTCCTTTCTAGGCAACGCCCCAGCTGCACTGTCTGGCCTCTCCCCTCTTCCGGGGCGCTCGCTCCTGCTCCCCGACCCAGCAAACACCTCCCTTCCAGGTCTCAGCTTAGACCAGCATTTCCCCCTTCCCCCCATCCTTTCCTTTTAGCACCCCCAACCTATGACTGGGTCAGACACCAGTGTTTTTAGCTCTAAAAAGCAAAGTTGGGCTAAATGATTATTTCTGAATCGTTAAAAGGGCCAGTGGAGGGTCTGTACAAACCACTGTTTTAAAAATTGGGGCTTGATTTTAAAACAGTGAGATGCCCAGCCCTCCAGCACAGACCTCAGGGGACATGTATGTGACCGGGTAACCCACATCTGTATCAAGATGTGGAACGTTTCCGCGGCTCCAGAAAATCCCTCGCGGCCCGCCCAGCCAGGGCCGGCGGCTCTCAGAGGAGCGCCGTTCTGGTTTCTCCACCACAGATGGCTGTCCCCAAACGCCACCAAGGCAGCCGCGCGCACTGATCTGGCCGGGTTCCCTAGGCCAGGCGTGAGGTTTGAGGTCACACAGGTTTGTTGTGTTCCAGTCACTCGTGGCTTTTTGTTACCGAGTAGAAGTCTACTCTACAAACCACACCGCCTTCCATTCTCCTGTTTTTGACTACTGCGGCTAACACTGCTGATCTTACACAAGTCTGTGATTACACACGGTGCTTTTTCTTGGATGGCTGGTCTGAGGGCAGGTGAATGTTTATGGAAGCCGCTGGACCAGTTTCCGAAGCGCTGAACAGTTTGCCCACCCCTGCTGCAGTGTGGGGGAGCTCTGATTGCTCCCCACATTTACCAGCAGTAGGTACGGTCAGTCCTGGACCTGTGGGTTGGCTCGCAGGTACACGGCGCACCAGTCTTGGCTGCAGTTTGCACGAGCCTGGTGACCAAGGACCGGGCACTGGGTCGCCAGCTTGCTGCCACCTGTAATTTCCATTTACCCAGGTGGATGTGAGCTGTAAGAGCCCTCTGCTCACACAAGTCACTGTCAGGTGTCTGCCTGCTTATTTATTTTCCGATTGGCATCTTATGCTTGAGTATTGAATTCTGACCAGGCCCATCTCATTCCCGCTGACCATTCCCAGCCCGGCGGGGCGCTCCGGCTGACCCCGCGGTGTGACGCCTCTCAGCTGTCGACATGGAGACGCGGCTGCGCTGCCCTTTCATTTTACTTTTACATTTGGATTTCTACTCCTTTTCTGTTTTCATAAAATGTGGAATTTGGTTAATGCAGAAGGGAAAATCTCCTAAATACAATGTTTCACAACTGTACTTTTTGGTAATTAGAACAGGACATTATGCTCATGATAAATAACCAAGGCAGTTCTGATCATCTGCCATAGAATGCTTCTTTGTAGAACTCTCTACCACAAACAAGAATCTTGAGAAAGCTTTTACTTGGGCTTATTTAGGTTCTTCTGAATTAAAAAATCTCTGAAATGCTGATAGAATGCAAAGTGTGGTTTATGTATAGTAGGGATAGGAAATATTTACTGATGTTTAGCAATATCGGGCCGCCCTGGTGGCACAGGGGTTGAGTCTCAGCACTGTGAAGCTGTCCCTGAAGCAGAAGTTCAATCCTGGCCAGGGAGGGACCCCCAGGGCGCAGCAGAGCGCTCCTGTCTCCCGGCTGCACCCCTCAGCAGTGGGTTTCAGTTATTCTGCCTGTTCTGCTCCCTGCTCTGTCTCTGGTGAACACTCTCACTGCCCGCACAATTGTGTGTGTGTGGGGGTGGGGGGAGGAGGTTTGGGGTGAGAGAGAGAACACAAAGCTGGAGGGCAGAGGCCAGAGGCCAGGCTGCTGCTGGCTGTCAACAGAATGAGGGAGTGATGCGGCTGAAATGCTAACACCCCTGCTCTGAGAACCCTGCTGGAGCTGACCGCTGACCGCTGACCCCAACTGCTCTTCTCCCACCACCACGCAGCTTGCGCGCCTCACCATGCTCCCGGACACCGAGGCCGGTCACAGCCGACCGTCCTCACAGGTCGGTCGCCGTAGCTATCCCGGCCATCCTCTGCTCGCGCTCCCTCCCTGCCGCCAGGCCGCACCCTGCGTCCACCTGGCACCCTGGCCTCCACCCCATGGCGCCTCTCCTGCGAGACCTGTGCTCGCTTGCCCGGTGCCAGTCACTCGCCGCCTGACTTCACACGCAGAACGTCCTCAGCACCCGTGACGCCCACGCCCGATCTCCCGCACCGTCTCCGTTAACACCTCCTCAACCTCGCCGCGCACCTTCGCTTCCCTTTGTGGAGACAATACTCCCCCAGCGCCCGACCCCCGTTTCCTGCTTCCTCACACCCATTGCCCTCTTCACGCAGCCTCCATGTCCCTGCTCACGCCCTCGGTCTCCGCTCCGGCCGCCGCCCGCAGTTCCCTCGTGGCCCCAGCCTTCAGCGGGCTGCTGTGTCCGCCCGCACCCTGGTCTCCAGGTGACGCATGGTGACTTCTTGCCTTCTCAAGCCCCTCCCCACTGCCCTCACGCTGAGCTGGTAACCCGCCGCTCGCTCCCGCGTCCAGCCCCGCTCCTCGGCATTCACCCCTGCCTCTCACAGCCCCGGAGGCTTCCCCGCACACCACCAGCTCTGGCAGGATCATTTCCACTAGCAAACCCACTGTTACTTCCCTCATCTGAAAGAAAAAGGTCTCTCTCGGCCCCAGAGGCCCTGGCGGCTACCAGCCCAGACCTGCCTTCCCTGTAGAGCAAACTCAAGAGTGTCTATTTTGCATACTTGAGTGTTGCTAAGAGATCAGATCTTAAACGTTCACATTATGAATAACTTTTGTAACGCATGTGTATGTGTGTGCTGACAGGTGCTGACCACACTGACAGCGTGTCTGGCGCACTGTGCAGGCCATGGGAGGAGGTGCGGTCACTCGCAGGATCCGTCTGTCAGGCGCCCTCGGAACACACCCCGCCCTCCCTTCTCCAAAGACCAGCCCTTCAAGGGCCCTGGCATTCGCTTCTTCCAGGCACCTGGGGTATTGCCAGCATCTGGTATCTAGTATAAGCCTGCACATCATTTCTAACCTACGAAACAGCGTATCTTCACTTGCAGCACAAGAGCACAACAATTTATATCTGTTACTACAACATTACTTCCAGCATATAAAAATATCCATTAATGAGAGCCAATGTATTGAAATCTAGGTTACTGATGGTTAAATGTTTCTTTTTAAAAATAAGTCTGCAGGACACAGCTGAGGCCGGGCTGACACCCTCTCAGCTGGCTGAGATGCAGGGTTATCTCTCACTGTCTTCTGTCACCCAACACGTTCTCAAGGATGGATATGATTTCAAGGGAAGTCTGATTACGATTGTCCTTTTATGTTTATTATCTCTTTTCTTTCACTATAATGATTCTTTTCAATCTCAGGGCATTTTAAGTTCTTAAAAAATTATTAAGGTTCTGAGATAGCTTTGGTTTATGTAGATAAAATTATTAGTATCTACCACATTAGGGATTAAAATGGAGTTATTTAAAAACATATTAACTCATCTAAAAATAACAATGATAGGGCCCTTCCTGTTGGCACAGTGGGTTAAAGCACAACACTAAGAAGCTAAAGCCACTTCAGCATGAGTTCAATCCCCATCCCCAGAGGCGACCCACATGGCGTGGCAGACCTCTCCTGACCGCCCGCTGCGCCCCTCGGCAGTGTAATTCATCAGTCAGCCTGTTCTGCTCCCCGCTCTGTCTCTGGTGAATCCTCTCACCACCCCTGTACCTCTGTTCTGTGTGCATAAATGAATAAATCTTTTAAAAAAATGATAAAACTTAACTACGAGATCATATCAAAACATTTTTTAGGAAGACTATCTTTCCTTAAACAAAAACAATTTACTAAAAAGATGGCATAGTTATTTTTATAATATCTTTATAAGGATATAATTAAAATACCACACAATTCATCCATAAAAGTATATAATTCAATGGCTTTGAATATATTCAGGGCTGTACAAACACATTACAACTAATTTTACAATGTTTTTGTCACCCCAAAAGAAAGCTCCATACTCTTTAGCTGTCACTCTCCCCACTTCCCTACCTCTCCTCTCATCCCATCCCCCCAAGCCACTGCAGTTTCCCTCCAGACTCTGAGGAGCTGCCTGTCTGGGCATTCCAAAGAAATGGCATCAGACCAGCGTGGCCACGTTCTTAAGGCTCACCCATGTCGGAGTGGAGCTGGGGCCTTATTTCTTTTTCTTGCCAAATAATATTTTGTTACTTGGACATACCACATTTTATTTACCCATGCTCAGTGAAATGACTGGGGTCGTTTCCACCTTCAGTTTCTACGAATAGTGCTATGCGTGGTCATGCGCTCTCATTCCTCTTGTGTGATATGTAGCTACAGAACTGCAGGGCCCCATGGCAACTCTAGCCTTTTGGGGAAACGGCCAGATTGTTTTGCAAAGCAGCTGCCCCATTTTACATTTCCAGTAGCAGTATGCTTTACACTTCTGCAAATCCCTTTAATGTCTGGTGTACCAGAAGACAGCTGGGGTCTCATACCTGTTTCTGTACTCAATCTGTTACACAAGCTTAAGTATATGAAAAACGCATACTCGAAGGAAAACGAAGTTTCAAAAACATTTTAACAGCCTTTTCAAATATGATGGAATATTCTTCTTTTATTCCACACCAAAATTCTACAAGTGGGTAGCCTGTTAAGGGCTTGTGGCAACACAGAATTCAAAACCATAAAATAAGATGAGAATTTCTTAATTTTGATAAAGGCACCATAGTTAAGAAAAACGTTACCAAAAGTTGAGTGACTGAAACACAAGAATTTATGTACTAATTCCCATATGTAATTAGATGTAACACTGCATTTCTTCCATAAATTTTAAATTATTTCAAAAGAAAGTAAAAATCCAATCTAATCTGTTTTGTTCTTTGAATGAATTATTTACCCAGTCTGATTTTGTAACCTTATGAACCTTGACATAACAAGTTTTCTAAAATTCCAGTTTTCACTTGAAAGCTCAAATTTTATATACTATTGACCAAAAATATTCCCTTCAAGTGGCAGATTTACTTTGTTCATTTTTAAGAAAATAACTCACAGGTACCTAAGTCTAAATAGCCAGTTTGTCTGTAAGCCTTTCTTTCAAGGAAAAATGATGTTCCATCACAAAAGCAGTTACCTTATTAATCAAAATTTAATCGCATGAGTACCCGTCCTCGAAGTGAGAGCACGCTGCGATGAAAAGGAGGCGCTTGATGTGCAAGTCCCATTTCTTCACACAGATTCTTAAAGAGACTGGTACTGAAGGACTGAGATACAATGAACAACTTTTACTGCCTCCTCAAGGGCATTCTTAGGCAAAACTGACTTTTTCCTCTTCCAGCAAGAGCGTGACAGGCATGACTGGAGGGCCCTGCCGCCTCGTTCGCGCCAAGGGCCGGCACTGAGTCCGTCCTTGGAAAAGGCAAATCATGACACGGTTCTATCGTACAAAGAGCTGTGATCTTGTGCATCCTGGGGACCCCCAGGTCTGCAGATCTCACTGGAGGGCTGCTGGTCGGCGTGGGTATAAAGGAACTCCAGGAATCTGGCTTGTTCACTACTGTGTCCTCTGCTTGGCATGTTAGAGGTACGCAAAAAATATTTAGCAAATGAATGAATGAATACATGAACATGTAAGGGACTGGATAAATTATTCTGATGTAATATCTATAATTACTTTCAGCGCTTGAAGTAAAGCAGCAAAAAATTCACAATATTTGTAGCTTTTAGGTATAATTTAAATTGTACAAAATGTTAAATATTTAATCAGGAAAGAAAAGACACTATTCTTTTGGCAAAGAATTTAACTATAGGCCTGGCAATAGCAGCAGGGAACTTTCAAAATCATACTAAAAGTGTTTGCATTGGAAAGCGGCTGCTTTCAAGTAAAGGGAACAATTCCTGACAACTGGAACGCTGCCTGTGACCTAGAAATGGGGGTGCCAGGAGAGGGGAACGACACGAGTCTCTACTCGCACATCACTGGTCCACACTTATTTTTTCAGCCCATAGTGTCTGGGAACGTGTCACAGACCTGGGAGGGACTGTGCACAGGAGTAGATAAAATGCTCTAAGTTCTGAGAACTAAATTAAGATAATAGATTTATCTCAGCAAGATCTGCGACTCTTAGTGTATGGCTCACACACTGAGTACCCTCGGTGTGGCTTTTCATGCAGCCAGTATTAGCACAATAAATTGCTACGTAATAGGTGAAGAAGTTAATAAGATGTCCTGTTTATTAGGGAGCGACCATACAGGTCACTATTTTTCAACAAATCAGGGCTCTAAATGCATCACTCTTAAGCTGAAGAATCCAATCACTAATGACTCTTGCGGCACTTGGACGCTCTCGGGAGCGTCATCATGAAGGACTTATCAGTTACGGGAGGCCTACAAGTGGGGTGTAATGACCACATACGTCATCTGCTCTTTAGCTTCTGAACCCAGGTCTGCCACTTGGTAATTAGTGGCAACAAGTAAATTCCTTAACCTTTTTCTAGTTTAATTTCTTCCTTTTTTCCCGAAATTCAGAAGTGCTAGAACATAAATGTTTGTGAAATATTTCAGGTACCCTGAAGAATCTGAGCTAAGTATAATACATTAAAAATGAGGATTACCCAGAACATAAAATACTCCAGCAAATTTTAAACTGTCAAGTGTGAAATAATAATCTGTTTCTTTCACTCTTTAGAAAATTTATAAAGTTGTTCCCTAACCCATGTGTCTGCTTGGACCTAGAAGTTCTGGGAATAAGACCAGAATGGACACGAGCATCCCGAGCTGTGCTGAACAGCTTAAGAACACCGCAGTCAGAGCTAATCTGATGAGACAGGCAGGGCAGGAAGAACTGCTCTTATCATTCAGACAAGAGAACCAAAAACTCAAAGAAACAGTGTACACCTCAGAGGCAGAGCTGAGGCTCAGCTGGTCTCCAGCAAGCACCCCTGCCTCGCCACTGCACCTCGCTTTGCTGAGTGGAGGGAGGGAGTGGCTGCCCGCGTGTTTCTGAAGCCTCAAAGCGGGCAAAAAATTAGCCAGCTTCCTTGGACCTGGAATACACCCTGCTCAGCTCACCTGCAGCTTCACGGCAATGACCACAGAGTTGAGATCTTTGTCCATTTCTTTCAGCATGACGAGTTTCTTCAGAGTCAAACTGAAGAGCCTACCAAAAAAGAAAGAGAGAAAGATGATCTGGTCGAAGGAAGGAACGTCGGCGAAAAGTGACAACCTGTTGGAGGAAATGCTGCTTCACCTGCAGCAGGGATGCCGTTCCCAGTCCAACTATGTCCTTCAGAGGCACGCATCCTCTTGCTCACGTTTCTACTTGTCTGGTGTTGAAAGCGTGCGTAGCCCACGAACTGCTATGGATGCCCATTTACTTCAAGCCCAAATCGACATACCCTCTCACTCCTATGACGCAGCAGCCGTTTCGGAGGGGGAGGAGGAGGCTGAGGAAGGCGTACAGGCGTGTGTTTTGCTCAGCCAGTTCCTATTCCACCTTGTAGCTAATCACATCCCAAACATTTGCAGACCTAAAACTGTAGCAAGGGATCCTACAAATAAAACAGATGCTGTCTGATGGAACCCAACGTAAAAGGCCACAGCTGGATTTCTGCTGGCCTGGGCTTCAGGTATGCAGACGCTCTTCAGTGCCACCCTGCTCCCCCAGACCCCTCTTAACTGAAAGTAACGGCGGGTGCCACCCCAACTCTGGCGGCAGGGCAGACCTGACCCTGGCCCTGCCCTCCAAGGCAGGCTTCCAGCAGGAGCTTCCAGCAGGAGCTTCCAGCAGGAGCTTCTGGTGGGAGGTGTCCTTACACACGCCTCCCCTTGGGACAGCTCTACAGAACTGGCACCCAGGAGGCAGGCTGCTGACCACACGGCCGGCGAGTCCTGAGAATCAGACCCACTGGGCTACACTGTCAGTGGCAGTGTGTCCCACCCGTCTTCTCCCTCAATCCTTCATCATGCCCTGAGGCCCTCGGGTGCACGTGCATCTCACCTCTGGGTGTCTACCAAAGGGCTGGCCGCAGGATGGGAGCTATAACAACTGCTGCAATTGTTTGTTAAATGAAGGTTAACAATTTCCTAAAGGCCCCTAAACTTAAGAACCAGACTATGTAATTCATGACAAGAGGTGGAGGAGGCAGACTAAGGGGAGGAAGTGCGGAGGCACCTGGTCAGCTGAGGACCCTGAGCCTGTGGGCAGGTGGCTGGTGAGCTTAGGCCAAGGTCAAACGGCACCGGGGTGGGGGTGGGCGTGGGGCTCGCCAGCATGGGCGGCTTTCTCAACCTTAGCAAGGATTTGGCTTTTGCTCTGCAAGAAATGGGGCGTCACTGGCTTTAAATGACAGGGACATGATCTGTTTAGCATCTTACTAAGATTCTTCTAGCTGGTGTCTTAGGATAGAATCAAGGCAAGAAAAAGGGGGTAAGGCGGAGAGCCAAGAATTCGAAGGCAGCTGCAACCACACAGTCAACAGACCAGCGTCCAGAGGGCAGCCACATAAGCAGGTGGAAAGTGGCCTGGGTTCTGATGAAATGACCGAAGATATGGGTCAAGTGCTGGTTTTTGGCTTAAGACACTTGGGCAGATAGGGTCACCATTAACCGAAATTGGGGGAAATTCTGGGGAAGACAGGTCTGGGGGATTGAAGAGATAGAGATCTTGAGCAAGGACACTACACTTGGGATGGCTAGACCGCTAAATAAAGCTGTTGAGCAGAGTTAGGAATTCAGCTGTCCTGGGGCGGAGCTGCCATGCGGAAGTGTGGCATGAAGGTGGCCGAGAAATGTGGAGGAAGGAGGCAACTCCTGGGGAGTGGACACGCCCGAAGAGGACTGATGCCTGGGCCCAGGAGACCAAGAGGAAGGCAGGGGCACTGAATGAATGTCATATTCTAGAAGCCACGAGGAAGGATCGGTTGTATCAAATGCTGTTAATGTGTGAAGATGAAAACTAAGAACTGACAACTTGATTTAGCAAAATGAAAGTCACCGAGGATCTCAATAAGAGCAGTTCCACTAGAATGGCGAAAGCGAAAGCCTAACCGGAACAAACATGAGTGAGGAAAGGAAGAGGAGACAGCAAATATGAAGCTATAAATGTTTTTCAACCCTAGATCTTTCCCAGTATTCGTAGTAGTAAAATTCTTGGTCAATAGAAATATAGTGCAACCTACTTGGGAGATTTAAAAGCCTCCAGGTAGCCATATTCAAAAAAAGTAAAAAGGGGAGTCGCTGGTGGCCTAGGATTTAAGTCTCAGAACTATCACCACAATGGCCTGAGTTCAATGCCCTGGCCAGGGAGTGACCCACATGGTGCAGCAGACCTCTCCTGTCTCCCTGCTGCTCCCCACTCTGTGAATACTCTCACACATACCCCCATACCTCTGGCCTATACCCCAGTTTTTTATTCACAAATAAACTTTAAAAAAAGTAAAAAGGTGAGATTAATTTTATTAAAGCATTTTATTTAACCAAACAAATTCAAACAGTAAAAATATCTGTAAAAAGACTACTATATCTAGGCCAAGAAGGTTTTACCCCAGGAATGTAAGGTAGGTATGTTAGAAAATCAATCAATGCAAATCATCATATTAACATACTAAAAAGAAAAAAACCATCACTGTTGCAATAGGAGCAGAAGAACTGTTGGAAAAACTCAATATCCATTCCTGATTAAAAAAAAAACAGTAAAATAAACTCTCGATCGGATGAAGGGTATCTATGACAAGCTTACAGGTATTCAGGGGTCTTGAGACCCAATTTCTAAGAGTGTGTGTGTCTCCACGGGACACTATCCACCCAGAGACAGCATCAGAGTCTGCAGGTAAAGGGCTCAACATCCCAAGACCATCTTTTACTCCTCACATTGGGTAGAAGTCCAGGTTGCTACCTGTGTTTCTGTCCAGCCAGCTACAGATTGGGGCTCCCTGATCTCTTCCTCAGACTTCAGGTGACTACTGAATTTTGACCAACTGGCTACAGATCAGAGGCTCCTAGGTCACCCTTCTCGGGGTCAATTAACTCACTAGACTGGATCACAGAACTGCGAAGCCCCTCTGCACACCAGATCACTGATTTATTACGAAGTATGTGACGCAAGAAAGGCAGAAAGATGCACAGGATAAGGTCGGAGGGAAGGGCGGGGTGCGCCGTTCTGCCCAAGTCTCCGATTCACCAGCCCAGATGTTGTCCGAATCCCCTTTTGCGCTATGGGGGCCGCGTTACTTATGGGCGACTGATGAACTCACGGCCCGGCCGCACCCCGCGCCAGCGCCCCCTGCTGGCAATTGTAAGGGGCTCTCGGTAGTGGCTCTTCCTCCGGTGTCGCCTCCTTTTCTCGACTCTGCCCACACTTTCCTTGCGGGTGAATTTGGGTGACCTCCGTCACACGCCAAATGAAGTCAACACGTCGGTTTTCCCATACAAACGAAGGTCCTGAATGTTCCCACTCGGGGACACTGTGATCTGGATCAAGCGAGAGAATAAGGGCAGCCAGGCCTGGCGGGCAGAAAGAGGCAGCAAATGCCCCTCTCGGGACCTTTCGTGTTTAAGCCCGAGGTTGTTTTGTCGAGGGCGGACTGGCTTTCTGCTAGTCAAGCGCAGCGAGGCAACTACTACCCCCCCCCCCCCCCCAGGGAGCAGTGCCTGGCCTCGCCCCCGCGCCCGCAGGGGCTCTTCTCCTCCACTCGCAGTCGCTGGCCCTTCGTGGAGTCCATCCTGCCAGCGCCGGTGGCAGGCAGAGGAACGGCGGCTGCACTTGGGCCACGCACATTCCCCTGCCCGGCAAGACCTTCGTGAACCGCTTACTCTACTACTTCTCAGTAACGAGCTCTACGCCAGGAGCGAGCGAGACCTCGAGGACGGAGGAATCCTGCCCCTGAGCAGTTTCGGCCCAACTCACCAACACCACAGTGCTTTTTAACACTAAGCCTGTAGCCAGGCTGCAGCCTCAGGGCAGACCTATTATTTAGGCCTCCTAAGCTTAGGCCTCAAGGAAGTGTTTTCTTTAGGTCCACTTAGACTAAATTTGAAAGAATCAGGCTGTCTGCTTGGTAACTGGGTAGAAAATTAAAGAAAAGGGCCCTCCCTGCTGGCGCAACGGGGTAGGATGCAGCACTGCAAAAGGGCAGTTGGATCCCCGCCCTGGAGGTGACCCACATGGCGTGGCAGACCTCTCTTGACCTGCCCACTGCTCCCCTCAGCAGTGTACTTTGTCCACTGTCCCTGGTGAAGCCTCTCACCGCCCCTGCACCTATGGCTTGTACCTCAGTTCTGTATGAATAAATAAATCTCTTTTTAAAAAATGAAAGAAAAGGCCCTCCCTGGTGGCGCAGCGGGTTAAAGCACAGCACTGAGAATCTAAAGCCGCTTCGCATGAGTTCGATTCCCACCTGCCCAGGAGGGCTACCCTCAGCAGTGTACTTTGTCGATCTGCCTGTTCTGCTCCCCACTCTGTCTCTGGTGAAGCCTCTCGCCGCCCCTGAGCCTCTGGCCTGTACCCCAGTTCTGTATGCACAAATAAATAAATCTTAAAAAAAAAAAAAATGAAAGAAAAATATAATAACAAGAATCTCTGGAAACTGTATCAATTATTCTGGTTTGTGTGTCACTGTAACATAAAGGAGTCAGATGCACTGTCTAGAAACCCCCAACCTGCACTTACAGCTGTTCCAGACATTATTTCCATATAAATGGGAACCAGAGAGGCTCCCTGGGAGAAATGGTCAGATGTCTGCCTCCTTTTTCTTTTGTAACAGGGTATCACTGAATACTGAAGTGGCCGTATTTTGGACAGAAAAGGGGTAAGAAAGGAGAAACAGAGGTCTGAAGGAAAGAAAAACCTGAAGTTTCCATCTGGATTGAAGCAATGGCATCAGAAGACTAGTGACCTGGGTTATTCTTTTGTCTTACCAAGAAACAATCGTGTTTGACGAGCAAGTCACATTTATCAGCTCAAAGTGAAAAGCAGTAGGGGAAAAGTACAAGGGAATTTTTCCTTTGTGAGAATACAGGAAGTCACTACAACTGCTTCCACTTTAAGTGGGCACCTGTTACCATCTCAATGAGCACTGAAAACTACAAAGTGTTTATGGCTTAAGCTTATTCTGCTTATTAAGCTTAAGCTTAAGCATGATTCTGACTGTGCAACAAATA